TTATTTCAGATATGATGATATGTTGGTATGTTGTAATGTTTAGCTGGCGAGCTATCACAATGTTGAAAACCATATATTGCCCAGCCGTAGAGGTCAGTTTCATCAAACCTGACAACAACCCTGACAACAAATGGTAACTAACGAAGAAGGCTATGTGAAGTTGCTGAGTTGAAGTTTCTGTTGTTTTATTATTATTATTATTATTATTATTATTATTATTATTAGAATTTATATACTGCCCTATACCCGGAGGTCTCAGGATGGTTCTAGCTAACAGGACCAGTGGTCAGGGATGATGGGAATTGTAGTCCCAAAACATCTGGAGGGCCAAGTTTGCCTAGTCCTGTTGTAAGTGTTGGTGGTGTTATGACTTGATTTCCCCAAAAGTGATTCTCCAGCTCAGAGTGTAAAACCAATTTCTGTGTATGCTCCTTTAGGCTTCAGTAGACCAGGACCTCAAAAGAGCTTCTCGGTAGGTACATGCATAAGAGGACTTTGATGTTTATTGCTATTGCTGAATCTGATTGGTGTGAACTACATGACCGCACCTCCTCACCCAGCAGCCCTTTATCTGATGGATATCTTTCCTTCTTTCATGGTTCCATTTCCATTGTGTGCAGTTGCGACCAATATATTGGGGGCATAGGGCAGGATTCAAAGAAGGAGTCCCACTAGGGGATGCCCATGCAAGGACCTCTGCTAGTGCGATGGGGCTGCCCCCCTTCCCCCAGCACTCCCCTCTCGCCCCCTGAAATTGGCTCATGTCTTCTAAAAGTCTGGTAGTTGTTGTTCTCTTTGACATCTGGTGGGAGGGAGTTCCACAGGGCGGGCGCCACTACCAAGAAGGCCCTCTGCCTGGTTCCCTGTAACTTGGCTTCTCGCAACAAGGGAACCGCCGGAAGGCCCTCGGCACTGGACCTCAGTGTCTGGGCAGAACGATGGGGGTGGAGACGCTCCTTCAGGGATACTGGGCCGAGGCCGTTTAGGGCTTTAAAGTTCAACACCAACACTTTGAATTGTGCTCAGAAGCATACTGGAAAAACAGGCAAAATATTTTAAAATGGGGGCGGAATTGTAAAAGGTGTTGATTTTTTAAAAAACAAAACCAGCATGGAAAAGAGAGAATGTGGGAGAAGGAGGAGCTCAGCAGGTCCATTGCCCTGGAAAAGTGATCAGTAGGCACTTTCTGAAGTGGGAATGATGGGGCGAATTTCCAGAATTCGAATTTGCTCTTTATGGAAGTAAGCATGTTACCCTCCTTGAGCCTTCAGGCACCTTTGCGCATCACTCTCAGCAATGCAAAAGTGGACATGCTGAAGTAACACTGAACTTCTGGTGGACTGGGCAAGGACTTCCTGTGCCAAGGTCTTCCACATGGCAATTGTGGCCTCGGCGCTTCTTGTGCGCACTCGTTTTGTGCAGTCCCCCACACAGCGTTGCCTGCATCAAAATGCCACCCCATATTAAAGGTAAAGGGACCCCTGACCATTAGGTCCAGTCGTGGCCGACTCAGGGGTTGCGGCGCTCATCTCGCTTTATTGGCTGAGGGAGCCAGCGTACAGCTTCCGGGTCATGTGGCCAGCATGACTAAGCCGCTTCTGATGAACCAGAGCAGCGCACAGAAACACTGTTTACCTTCCCGCCAGAGCAGTACCTATTTATTTACTTGCACTTTGACATGCTTTCGAACTGCTAGGTTGGCAGGAGCAGGGACTGAGCAACGGGAGCTCACCCCGTCGCGGGGATTCGAACCGCCGACCTTCTGATTGGCAAGTCCTAGGTTCCGTGGTTTAACCCACAGCGCCACCTGCGTCCCCATATTATTTGCCCATTTAATCCGGATTGACCATTGCTATCGAAAATCTGGTGAGTAAAAAAAGAGAAGAAAACCCTGTTGAAATGGTAAGTTTGAATTCAAATTGTGGAAGGTAGGGTGATATGGGGTGATATTTTGATGAGGATGAGGTCACATGGGGGCTGTGAAAAATGTGTGTGCGGGAGCCCACAATAAGCTGCCCTGTAACTCAATTTCCAGTTTCAAATGAATATTTGGTCCACTGTAGCACATTGTAAATTACTCTAACGGGGGGGGGGGGGTACATTTTTTAAAGAAAGGTATCTTGCACCCATTATACAGGAGTAGTGTAGCACCTTCACGACAGGTGTTAGCTTTAAGATGAACTGGACTTGGCACTTAATAATAATAATAATACAGTGGTACCTCGGTTCTCGAACGTAATCCGTTGTGGAAGACTGTTCAACTTCTGAAACGTTCAACAACCGAGATGCAAAGGGCTGGCTGCAGTTCAATTGGAAAAATTGGGGGAAAAACAGCGGAAGCTGTTCGACTCCCTTGGCGTGTTTGAAAACGGAAGCAATTACTTCTGGGTTTTCGGTGTTCGAAAACAGAAACGTTTGGCTTCCAAGACGCTCAAAAACCAAGGTACCATTGTAGTAGTAGTAATAATAATAATAATAATAATAATAATAATAATAATATACAGCCCTTCATCCTAGGATCTCAGGGCGGTTCACAGAATAAAATCCAAGAATGGTGAGCCATCAATAATCTGACTACAGCAACCCACTTGGGTCAGGCCAACATCCCTAGGCCAATTTCTTCTTTTTCACTATCTTTGGCACTATAGGGGGACGCGGGTGGAGCTGTGGGTTAAACCACAGAGTCTAGGGCTTGCCGATCAGAAGGTCGGCACTTCAAATCCCCGCGACTGGATGAGCTCCCGTTGTTTGGTCCCTGCTCCTGCCAACCTAGCAGTTCGAAAGCACGTCAAAGTGCAAGTAGATAAATAGGTACCGCTCCGGCGGGAAGGTAAATGGCGTTTCCATGCGCTGCTCTGGTTCGCCAGAAGTGGCTTAGTCATGCTGGCCACATGACCCGGAAGCTGTCTGTGGACAAACGGCGGCTCCCTCAGCCTATAGAGCGAGATGAGCGCGCAACCCCAGAGTCGGTCACGACTGGACCTAATGGTCAGGGGTCCCTTTACCCTTTACCTTTACCTTGGCACTATAGAGAGTCTGTTTTCATAGGTGCATGATCCTTGCTCTCGCCCTCTTTGCCCTCCTCCCGCCCTTCCTAACCGCACTGCCTCTACTCAAGTGTCGCTGAAGAACCGTTCAGAGAGGCCTCCTCTCTGGCAGTGGACTGGACCGATCACTGGAGTGTCGCCTTCCTTTGCTGGCATTCTAAAGTCCTTTTGTGCAGGAACATCCTGTCTCTCTTTTGTTTGAGTTTGTAAGTGTCTCTTTCTTTCCAATCCCCTCTAATGACTTTTCCTCGATGCAATTTGCGGAGGGCTGTGCCAAGGCGGCTTCCCCTGCTGAGACAGAAACAAGGCTCAGGAAAAAGGCGCCGAGGGAACTGTTCAGAGGGAAAAAGGGCGCTGGGGGAGCCATCAGGATCCTCGGTTTATCTCTGTCACTCTCTGCTCCCATGCGGGACAAGCTAGCCTCTCGGTCCCTGGCTGGGACAAGAGGAAGATTGCTGCAGAAGCAGAATGAAATGACAAACACAGCAAATCTGGTGGCTTGCCAGATGTGCCAAATAAACTCAGGCACTCCATAGGAGAGTGAGAAGCAAGCATGAGTAATAGTTCGAACCCTTTTTTCCAGAAGAGGAAAAGAGAGGTGGGGAGGGCTTCTGTGATTTGCTAAGCACTCCAGCATCTATGGCTGCCTGCAGACAGTGTTTTATTCCAGAATCAATGGAGACTTGAGTACTTGGTGTTTTGTGTTTTTTCTACATAGTCCACAACACAGTCTAGATCCACTGCATATTGTTTAGCCCCTGGAAAGCAATTCTGGAGAAACTGGTTTCATTCTGGAAATGAAAGCTTATTGCATAGAACAGGCATCCCCAAACTCGGCCCTCCAGCTGTTTTGGGACTACAACTCCCATCACCCCTAGCTAACAGGACCAGTAGTCCCAAAACAGCTGGAGGGCCAAGTTTGAGGATGCCTGGCATAGAATCTGCATTACCCTGGCCAGGTGGGACTCACTAGCTCTCAGAGGAGGTGTGTGACTCCTCAGCTGGAGTAGGCTTGGAACAGGTGAGGGTCAAGCCCAGATGTTGCAGCCAGCATGCAGAGTATAAAAGGGCAGCAGAGCTGAGGTGCTGTGTCTTCTCAACTGCCCTTGTTGAAGGACCTCAGCATAGATGCTCCAGGGTCTCTGTGGGTTTCGCTTTGGGCTTTGGACACATGGGTTGACCCCAATTGGGGACCTGACGTACTGACTTGCTACCAGGTAGGCTGGGGTTCAGAACATGAAGCCTGGCATGCATGTTTTAACTTAAGCCACCATGTCCCCAAGGGTGGGTGGTGGGTGGATGTTTGTGTGTGTAGAGTTAGCTCCTGAATTATCTCGATACTCTGAATGTCATCCACCCGGACCAAGTTTCTGGGCTGTCTGGAATGAATTAAGAGGAAGGATGAGGCAGTTTTTGTAGGATCTAGTAAGAACTCCCCAAAGACGTATCTCTTGGGGATGACTTCGGCCACATTCCTGCCTGCCTGGCAACCTGCTCTGTCCTCACCCTCACAGAAAGGAAATGAGAATCTCGGAAACAAAGAGGAAAGAGGAACTGGAAACAAGATTAAACATGGGCTTGACAAACCTGCCCTGCTGAGCTTTCCCTTCAAAAGTCTTCCTAGAGCTTTGATGGAGAGGAGTGGGGGGGTGATCTTTTTTACTTGGAAAAGTGGTTGTATAGAGAGGCCGGCACTTGTCAAAGTGAAAGAGAATTTTTTTAAGCGTATAAAGGCCTTTAAAAAAACTTGCATTGAGGGCAAATGAATTAGGAAACAAACGATCCAGGATCAGATCATTCTGCTTTCCCCTTCCACAAGCACACATGTGAAAGCAGCTGCAAAGCACTCTTGTTTTGATCAGAGAAGCTGTACTGGGGACGAGTCAGCTACTCCCCCCACATACTATTTTCCAGATCTATATGACCCCCCAAGTTGCTAAAAGTCCATGGAGGAGCCACTGTGGTGCAGTGGTTAGAATGTTGGGCTGGGACCTGGGAGACCAGGGTTCAAATCCCCTCTGGGCTATGAAGCTCACTGGATGACCATGGTTCATGTATCTGTATGTATGTAAACCCCGCGGTGGGGTGAGCTCCCATCGTTCGGTCCCAGCTCCTGCCCACCTAGCAGTTCGAAAGCACCCTTAAGTGCAAGTAGATAAATAGGTACCGCTCCGGCGGGAAGGTAAACGACGTTTCCGTGTGCTGCGCTGGTGCTGGCTCGCCAGAGCAGCTTCGTCACGCTGGCCACGTGACCCGGAAGTGTCTTCGGACAGCGCTGGCCCCCGGCCTCTTAAGCGAGATGGGCGTGCAACCCCAGAGTCGGTCACGACTGGCCCGTACGGGCAGGGGTACCTTTACCTTTTTATGTATGTAAATCTGCATCTGCCCCACCTGCAACAAAACATGTCTCTCCCATATCGGTCTCTACAGCCACAGCTGGAGCTGCAACTCTTCAACGCTTTGAATTGACCTCTGAAGATGCACTCCATCATTGTCTCCTGAGACAGATGGTTGTCAAGCGGTAATGCGGACACTCGCCTTAAAAGGTTGCCAATGCAAGCTGTGGCTCAGGGACAGAGTATCTATCTGACTTGCATGCAGAAGGTCCCTAGTTCACTCCCTGTAAGGCTGGGGAAAGCTTCCGCCTAAAACATCAGAGAGCTGCTACCAGTCGACAATAATAAGCTAGATGGGCGTATGGTCTGACTCAGTATAAGGAAGCTTCCTATATTTCATCTAACCCTCTTTCTGCAACCTTTCCCTCCCTTGTTCTGTAAAAAGCTGGATCTGGGAAACCCATCGCATTTTGCAAGCGCACTTACTGGCAACAGCCAATTGATGCGCACCCAATTGACATCGCGCCAAACTCAGAAGTGACTTTTAAAATGGCGAAAAGAGCCCTAAAAGAGCCCAGGAAGGGCAAGAAGGCACCAAAACAGTGCATAGCAATTCCACAAGCCTTTGCAAGGGCAATCCCAGGAGCCCTTGCAAATCCTCCAAGTGCCCCTATTTTCCAGGGACAGTCCTGGATTTACAGAAGCTGTCCTGGTTTCTGATTTGATCCTGGAATCTCCCACTTTTCCTTAGGACGTCCCTATTTCCACTGGAGAAATGCTGGAGGGCATGGAGTTATGCGACCCCACCGTGCTGAGGAGATAAGTCACGATACAACCTTTAGAAGAAATCTGAAGGCAGCCCTGTACAGTGGTACCTCGGGTTACATATGCTTCAGGTTACATACGCTTCAGGTTACAGACTCTGCTAACCCAGAAATATTCCTCGGGTTAAGAACTTTGCTTCCGGATGAGAACAGAAATCGTGCTCCAGCAGCGTGGTAGCAGCGGGAGGCCCCATTAGCTAAAGTGGTCTTCAGGTTAAGAACAGTTTCAGGTTAAGAACGGACCTCCAGAAAGAATTAAGTATGTAACCAGAGCTACCACTGTATAGGGAAGATTTTTTTTTAATGTTCAATGTTTTATCGTGTTTTTATATAGGTTGGAAGCTGCCCAGAGTGGCTGGAGCAACCCAGTCAGATGGGCAGGGTATAAATATGATTATTATTATTATTATTATTATTATTTGTTTATTAAATAGGGCGTCCCTATTTTCATCCGGGAAATATTGGATGGTATGCCCTTGCATTGACTGTTAAGGCCTGTGGAGAGCTGGAGTTTGAGCAAGAAGGTTTGGAGGAAGTGACTGTGGTGGATTTCTGAGGAGTTCATCATGTGGTAAGTGTTGCTGGGTTTTTTAAGGGGTTTTCAAGGGTTTCCAGATGTTTAGAAGGTGTTTGCAGGCCACATATCATACTTTTCCATGTACAGTGGTACCTCGGGTTACAGACGCTTCAGGTTACAGACTCCGCTAACTCAGAAATAGTACCACGGGTTAAGAACTTTGCATCAGGATGAGAACAGAAATTGCGCAGTGGCGGCAGCAGAAGGCCCCATTAGCTAAAGTGGTACCTCAGGTTAAGAACAGTTTCAGGTTAAGAAAGGACCTCCAGGACCGTTCTTAACTCGAGGTACCACTGTGTAAGACAAGGGTTTTTTATTTTAAAATTATGTTAAAAATTGGGGGCCGTCTTATACACGGATAGTTCATTGGGGGGACGTGGGATTGATTGCTGCTGCAAGGCGGAGATTGTCAGCAGCTATTGGGCGTGTTATTGGTGGCTGCAGCAAGGGCTGGTGTTGATTGGCTGTCGCTGCGGCAATTGGACGGGCGATTGGCAGCTTTGGCGACACGTACGAGTGGCAACATAGGTCAGGCGGGTTAGCGGTTTTCGGCAACCCCCCCCCTAAAAAAAAAGCTCCACAACTCCATTTTCTTAATTTGGGGTCCCCAAATCTTATACACGGGGGCGTCTTATACACGGAAAAATCCGGTAAATGTGGAGTTGCCTGAACTTTGCACATTATAATTTAAGTATTTTTTGGTACTATATGGCATAATAACGGCTTTCTGCCTGGGACTCTCTCCTGAATGAGAACACGCAGCTTCTAACCCGTACCCCTGAATGAAGCTGGTCTCCACCCTAGTTTCCACCTGTGCTGTTCAATGCAGTTTCTTGTGTCCTAGCAAGGTTCTCAGGCACGCTTTCAACAGCTCCTCCCCTCTCCCTCAGATGTGGGCTCAGTATAGAGAGAACATTAACTACACCTCTTTATTATTGAGTATAAATTTATTGGAGGGGGCCCTCTTTTTTTTTCGCAGCTTCTCCTCACCTTCTCGGAAAAGTAAACATTTAATTTTTTTTGGTTGTTGTTAATAGATTTAATGTTCATTTGTCGGTCGCCTAGGGGCAGGAACGCGTGACATTTCAAATAATTGTTGTTTCGAGGGTATCCTCTGGAGGAAAATGCTGCAAAAGTGTAGAGAAGATTTAAGTAAATTACTGTGTCAGCTTCTATTTATTCCCTACATGATCGCCAGAGGCAGGCCTGCGAGAGGGCCATTAGAGGGCTCGCCATAAAACAGGGAGGCAGAATTTCAAAAGCCAGAATGCCATTATGGGAAAGTTAGTGTGTAACATGTTAAATTATTCCCCAAAGTGGTGGGGAAGAGGGGGGAAGATGCAGAGGCAAGGAGGAACAGTTGAATTCGAGAATGCCCGTGTGGATGTGCTAGAGAAAGAGAGGGGGGGGGCTTTGTGTGTAGGTTTGTGTCACATGGAGAAACAGGACTGGTCCTGTGATAATACGTTGGGTGTCACTGGGAGAGTGCTTGGGGGGATTGCACGTCTTAGGGATGAGAATTGCAGAGCCATGGATAAAATCCCCTTCTCTGTGTGCTGGGAGCAGCAGGGTAGAGGGAGCGTGCTGTGTGTTTAGACAGCCACCATGGGGAGCAATTTCAAGGGGTCTCCGTGAAACGTCTGCATCCTGTGGCCTTCACTTGAGGCAAGGTGAAGTCGGTACAACAGTAACGGTAGACCAACCCAGAGCTGTAGTACATCAGTGCGGAGAGATGGTGTCATCAGTTGCTGTTAACAAGCCAGGGCTTCTCCCAATTACCAACACCAGCACTCAGCTAGAGTGATCTCTTTCCTCCTTCGTGTATGGTGGTAGCAGTGGCAGCAGCTACCAGCTTATTATCATTAATAATAATAATATATTTTACCATCATGCTATAGTGGTACCCTGCCAGTTGCAAAGCCAGCTTCTTACATCATTCACATTTTCCCACTGCACCTTTGTCCAAAATTAACTACTGTGCCTTTTAAAATCCTTTTAAAATTCACACTGGGTCGATCTTGGAATCTCTTGCATCCCTTTTGCCGTAGCCGGGATGAGCTCCACCCACTCACCACACTTCCCCTTTTGTAGCACTGATGGAGGGGGAAATCCACAAGGATAATATCTTTTTGATGACCCACTGAAATATCACCAAGTAATGCGCCAGGGTGTGAGTTTCCAAGATCTCTTATTTGGGTTGGATGTCAAGAAAAACAAACAAAATCGATTTAAAAAGGAAGGGGAGAATCAAAAGCTCGTGTTATGGGAAAGCCCTCAAATCAGCCATTTTTAACAAACCTTGAATTGGGGAGATGTTCTGCAGATTTTGTCTGAGCACCATTAACAAAATGGTTTGCAGGTTGCCTCAAGGACTGCTGGCAGCAAGGCTGCAAATGGATTGCTGAGATACTGCAACATTTTTTAAAATATATATATATTATTTAGCTGGTTTTCTCTGAAAAGGGTAAATCTAGATTAAATTTGGGAGAGGGGCAAACGCTGGATTCATTTTTAACATCCGCTACATGCATACAAAACAGATCCCACATTAACTCCTACCTTGATACACCCAAAGAAACCATGTTTATTTCCACTGTTTCCTTTTTTAGAGAAAACTATTATTACCCTACAGTTACTCAACCTGTCTCCTGTCCTCACCAGATCCTCCTTCTTTCCCCCTGCTGCTTTAAATGGCCTCCACGTGGGTCAATTTCTTGCCTCCCCCGCTGCCGCCTCCTCTGTTATTGTAATTTATTTACGTCATGCAAAACAATCCAGCCCCCCAAAGTCTTGCTTATCCCAGAGATCGACTTCCATTTTTGCAAGCATCACTCCTTATTTGCTTCCAATATGGCTTGATTTGTTCTCAATCCCTTTTCTGATGCAAGAATGATTGTGGACTGGGCAAGATTGGCGAGTTATTTCTAGCCTTGAAGGACCAAGGGGTCTCTCTGCTCTAGGCCGTCCTACTGCAAAGAATTCCATATGGATGGTCAATGGTAAACAGCAGGAGTTGAGGTGCGTTTTAAAAATAAATAAATGAATGAATGGACGAACGAATGAAATAATAATTCTAATGAATCACAAAGACCTCCGGGTAGTTAAATCATTGCTTGTTCCCTCGACCTCCTCAATATTTCTTTGCTAATAGACTTCGGGTTTAATTGAAGGATCTTCTCTGGACTCTGCCTGCCATACCATTCTCCCTCTCTTTAACCCCTCCAATCCATTAAGGGTCTTCATTAGTTTGAGCACCAGCCAGCCAACCAACCGTCAAAGGTCAAACACA